AAATTATAAATTTATTTTTTCAATTTATTAAATTAAATACAATTAAATATTACAAAATATAATTAAACATAATTATTATATAATAATGAAATTTTATTTATTTATATGATTAAAATCAGTTTAGAAACTAATATATTTTTTAAATTAAGTAATAAATAAATATTATATTAAATTATATAATTATATCATATTAAAAATATATTAATTTTTAAATTTATCTTTGAAATTTTATTAGTTATATTTTATGTTTCAAATTCATCATATTAAATTAAGACTTGTTTTATTGTCTTTTATAGTCATTGTTTAATATAAGTATTTATACTATTGTATGGATTACTTATATCAGCTATGTATATAAAGTTATAATCTTAAAATTATAGAATGCAATCTTTATATTACAAGGTATCCATAGTAATTTTATCGTACAATTTTGGATTTTGTAAAATTAAAAATTATGTAATTAATACATTTATTTTTTATATCATGTTTACAAATTGTTTATAACCTGTTTACAAATTATTATCAGAACATTATATTAATAGAGTGGTATATATATTTCACAAAAGTATGTATTTATTAATATTTCCATACTATGAAATAAAACTTCATCTGAAATTTCGAACTCAAAGTTTTTATTTTAATCATTTTTGTTTGATGAGTCACGAATAAAAGAATAGCATTCGTACATAAAAATATTTCCGAAAAGAATTCGGACAACATTGCAAGGAACGATTATCGCACTTTTGCATATATTCTTTTTTTCCATTTCCATTTAATTTTCCTATATTTGTTTATTTATCTAAGTAGAAATAATTAAACTGTATATTGTGCTAAATTAAAAATTTATCCTAAATAATCTTTAATTACACTAATCTCAGAACAATATATAATATAAAGAAGAAAAAGGAATTAGATTAAAAAGTTTCTTTAAGTATTCATCTTAAATATTTTTTCAAAAATTTTAATATGCATATATATATATATATATATATATATATATATATTTGTATATCATTTTTATCTATATAACTTTATGTTATAAAGTTTTGTGTAGAAATAATTCTGAATCTTCTTTTATTTTAACTTTATTACATTAGTATGCTCTCCAGCTAGTTTTTTAAACTTTATTAGATCCGACGGCTCGTCGTACGATTCTTATTACAATTTTTTATATCAATAAATATCTTACTTTCCACAATTATATTTGATTAATTTACAAATACTAATAATTAATAATATTATACAATGTTTTAAAACATGTTCATGCTGACTGATTTGCAAATATGTATGCAAGCAGAAAATCGTTAATTTCATAAATAATTCATGCTCTCATATCATATTTTATATTATAAATTCAAATAAAATATTAAAAATGGTTATGGATAAATAGTGCGCTAGAATGCAAAACTCCGAAAGATTTCAAGTAAAATATAGAATACAAAATTTTCAACTTCTATATAATTGAAAATAATAACTTCACAACTTACTTATTTAAACAAATATTTATTTTAATTTAAAACAGATATTTACATTTATTCAATAATTACACACATTATTTTTAAATAAACATATATATAAACAGTGAAATATAAATAAATTTACTATACTATCATATAGAATAATTTTGAAAATTTATTATTACTCGTTAAAGATTTAAGTCGCTTTGAAGCCTAAAAAGTTATGTGAACTTTCAGAATTTTTTAAGAATAATAATTGTTTATATACACAATTTAATTGATAAACTTAATTAACTTCAAATTTTAAACCCTTTAATGTTAAAAAAAAGTTTCTATTGAAATTGTTTTCAAAATTTCAGCTGTTATAGTATATAATGAACTACTTTTATATACTTTGCTATTATAGTTGATGATAACTCATTAATAATATTGACATAGCCAATTAATCTTAATAAAAAAATATTTTATTTGTATAAAAATTATTATTATAGTATTTATTCACAGGAATAATGGATATTTAAAAAAAAAAAATAATATATGAAAAATGTTTAATAATATATGAAATTCTTAACGAATAAAAAAATATATACATATTTATAAGAACTAGTTTGAATTAATTTTAAAGTTACAAAATTTCAAATTGTTCATACTAGTATTATAACTAGTTTTAAAGTTAGTCCACTTTAAAAATGGAACTTTTCAAAAACTACATTTTATTTTAAGCTTTCTTGTTTTCATCTTAATATTTTCTGAATGTCAAACTCTTGACAATATTGCATTATTATTATGAAGTCTTTTTTTCATATCTACACAATTTAATAACTATTGATAACATTCAAAGGTTTATTTCAATTAAAAATATTTTCATTGTGGTTTAATCCATAAATTATAGTCCACGATAAAAGTAATTGAGAAGCTACGCATAAAAAAAGAACACTTTAAATTTATTAAAAAATTACCATGTTAATCTTTTTTTGGATATATATTTTTAATGTGCAATAAATTATTGTCATTTCTTTATATTACAATAATATTTTTATTGAAAAAAATAATAATAATTACAAAATAAAAATTTAACAAAGTGGTATTTTAAACAATAATTAATAAATTTTTACCAAATAAACGATTCTCATTCGAATTATCATACTTTTGAAGTAAATACTAATGCATATATAATTATATACATTTTAGTATTTATAAATACGTATAAAAATGACATTTTCATACACAATCGAAGAATCGATAGTTTCTGATTTTTATCAATCTTGATTTTAGCATAAAAGCATTACTTTTCTAAAATAATTTATCCAATTTACTATTAGAATATATATTTATTTGTAAACTGATGAGCTTTTTATTATTCGTCGCTATTCTAAAATATTAATTAGTTTTTCGTTACGTAGAACCGTCGGATTTTTAATTCTTTTATCTGAAGAAAATTTAACATTTAGTTGCGTACAATCGTTTACATAAACAGCACCTTAAAATTTTCTTTTTTTACTTAATTTTTCTCCTATACACTTCTCACTACTATCTTTAACTTTTTGATTAATATCAACGAATTTTCCTTACGTATTTACTTATTTCTAAATTTCAAATCAAATTTATAAATCAAACCCTTTTTTGGATACAATAGATTCCATACAATTTTTTTGACTGTAAGAAATTTCATGAATTGTACTTAAGAAAAATGGAAGATATGCTTTTTGTTTTCTTTTTAAGTGTGCACTTTTTCTCTCATCTGAAACAGAAGCGAGCGTCAATTTATTTCTTATCAAAAGAATTAAAGTTGTTAAGTGTTTAAGAACTTTGAGAAATAGAAAAACTTTGTACACAAAGTCTTTAATTATAATATAAATAAACAAATTAAAAAAGGAACGTTGCATATGAATTTATTTTTTAGTATAAAAGAAAATTGATTAAGAAACTACTTGGTCTTGATTATGAGGGATAATTAAAAATATTTTATACATACATATGTATTTAGACAGCGTAATATTTTCATACATTTTATAGCATCTTTCATTTTACTTCTGTTGCACAAATTTTCACATGTTCCTTAACTTCACATTTTCACACTCATTCAAACTTTCAAAATACTAACTTATCAGTATAAATCAAATATATTAGATATTAAATAATACAATTTAATAATATAATAAAAAGAAGAAGAAATATATTAATTTTAAATAATATAATTTCTAACAAAACACCTGCCAAGCAGATTCTTTTTTTATTGTAAATATTCAAAATCAACGACATTCTTTTAGCATTTGGAATTTCATAAAATATAACTAGTACAAAGTATAGTAATATCCATATAATAGAAACTGTAATAATTGTAATTTTATATTTAAAATATATTTTAATATTTCAAATAATTATGTACTCTGTCATCGATATACATGAATATATATCGTAACAATTGTTGTGTAGGATGAAATTGAACTTCTTTTGTTATCGCCTGCTATTATAGCATCAAATTACATAATTTCAACTTCAACATTATCCATTGCTTTCACGATCATTCTTATTATTACTCAGCAAATTATTCAGCAATTAATTAAAAACCATAATAGTTTATATATGTGCCTTTTAGAAGAGAGAATCGTTTTTAAGCCGTTTTATGATCAATTTTGAAGTATATTAAATAAAAGATGTCATTAATTTTATGATAAAGTATCTTATATAAAATAAAAACTATGTTAATCTTATTATCTATTTTGATTAATTAGAAAGATAATAACTATTCAAATATTAATTTAATAAATGATATTTATCGATAGAAAAATAGTATTTTAAAATTATTATTCATAAACAAATAGAAATTAAATAAATTAAGAATATTAAGATGACTTTTACATAGACTAAAGACAAAATATTTTGGTTTTATTCACAATAAATATTTTTATCCATTTGTATGTAATGTATATAATTGTATATAATCACAATAAAATTATTTAACGTATTAAAATGTAAAACAATGTTTTTTATTTTAATTTATATATATAATTATTCATTATTAGTATATCATTTAGTACCAGATAAATTTACATTTAAAAAATATACTAAATAATTACAGAAATGTTATTGATTTATATAGTAAGTTTTAATGAACAATTTATACTACTTCATTCTGCCATCATATTTTTGTAATGTTCTTACCAATATACAATATATTGATTGATATATAAGAGATTTATTTAATACAAATAGAACTATGCTATTTAATTTGTAAATTGATCTATGTAATAAAATGTTGATTCTTTGTCTATTTTACATGATTCTCTCTTCTTTAAAAAATAAAATTGGAAACAGAAAGGATAAAAACAGAGAAATATAAAAGAATAATCGCTAATTTCTTTTACAGCATTCATTCATGTCTCTAAAATAATATATCCTTTACTAAAGTGGTCAATGACTCTGCCTTTTTCAAAATCTATTGCGATTTGTGTAACATCCTGAGTTAACTTGATAGTTGAAAAATATTCACTCTTCATTTTCTTCTTTTGCTTTTCAGCTTCTTCTTTTTTTAATGCATGTAAAGAGTACTTTGCAAAAAATATGGTTATTTTATTACTTCATTTTAATCTATAAAATTGTCAAATCCACTGAGAATGCGTTTTTCATCTGTATCCTCGTTAATTTCAATAACGCGCAGAATATTCATCAGTACTGATATTACACGTATTTTTGTTCAGTTTCTTTTTGTTGATGAATTACGCGTGGATAATACACAGGCGCGCGCACACATTATTAATATTCCCTTCCTCTTTTCTCATAGCTATTGAACAGCTTTTGAGCGTGGCTATTTTTGTTTACTTATTATTATTTCTTCTTTAGTATTGGTCGAGTCATCCAGGATTTTTAACTAGCTTCTTACTACGATAATCGTAGACTCGTCGACAAAACAGGACCATATCCTGAGGCACGGGAATGGGAGGTTGACGGATTTCACGAGGATAAAGTTGATCACCCGGAGGTACAATGAGGCCTGGATAGTCAAGGCCCTCCTCGATCCTGCGGAGATTCTTTCGATACCTAAAAAATAGATCAAGGGTAAGTAATGTTAAGTATTTAAACTAATTTTGATAATTTAAACGTTTTCTAAATTTACTAGGAAATTAGAAAATTTATAAAATTGATATAAAAACAGTGGTAAATTTTTATTATAAATGTAACAATTTTAAGAATTATTTTTTAGCGCCTTCTTTATAGCATTTTCTTAAAGGATCAATTTTATAGTTTTTGTTTTGTCCTATTTTATGCTACAATATGAATGATAGTAAACGTATGATTTATACAAATTGTCCACTGTTAATTTACTATCAATTACTCCAAGAATTTGACTTACCGACAATATTCATTAAAAGTAAGAATATAGCATTTGTCCTCGATACAAGCAACGCTATTAGCATCTCGATGTCGGGAGGCAAATACCTCGTCATCGGTGTCATTCTCGGCACGACCTTGTTCAGTATGCTCTGGTCTGTAGTACCATAATAACGAGAACATCATTTCTCCTAATTAAATGTAAAAAATATTGATTATGTTTTTAAATGGTTTTTCTATTAATTAATTGTTAATATATTTAATGTTAGGATCTATTATATGGATATTGTGTTTCACCATTAGCTGTATACATATGTTTTTTTATTTTTACTTAATAATATTATTAATACTATAACAATTAAAGCAAACAAATTGATTTTTATTTAATACTATAAATTTAAATGTATTCATCTCTAAAATAAAAGCAAACAATATATAAAATAAAAGGTTTGTACCATCGTCCGGATTTTCCCAAAGTGCGGCAATTTTTGCCACAAATGGCAAATCAGCTTTCCTTGGACCACTTTTCAGCAAAACACAGTCTAGTGGTTGAAGAACATCACCACTTTCATGTCTCATACTAGCATAACATCGACGAATAGCTGACTCCTCGTTCTAAAAACAATTATTAGTTGTATATATATATGGAACGAATGTATATGAATGTTAAAATATATAGACGATTTTTTTAAGATTTTGAAAATATACGATATAATAACCATGTAACTTGTAAACTATGTTTTGTATAATAACTGCATGTATGTAATAACTAAGGAAATAAAGGAATCATAAAATTAATACTTTTTAAATACTTATTTTTCGATTGTTGAAATAATTAATACATATATAAATTAAATTCGTTAATGAATAAAAATTCATACATTTCATTTAGAATTTTATTTTAAATAATTATATTAAAGACAGTTCATATTATAATAAAAGTTAGATAAATACTAGTATCTGAATCTGAAATTTCATTAATTTAATATAATTAATTTAATATAATTTAATATATTATACATAAAAACGTAATCACTAAAAGAGTCAATAAAGGAATCTTATATTCTTATAAAAATTATAATATAATCTCTATATTAGATAAACTTTTAACAAAAAGTAAACATTTATATAGAAATTTATATAGAGATCATGTGATTTGGTAATAATATAGTCTTAGATGCAAAATATATTGAATATACTTTTTTTTGTGAAATTTAATATTAATTAATTATTCCAATGTAATAGATATAAAATTCACATTTTTGACCCGTTCAGTGTGTAAAAATAATTTTTCAATATAGAATATGACTATTAATAATATATAATTTGAAAATGTATTAAATTATTTTTATTATCTGTTTACTTGAAAATGTATTTATATTTATATTTTTAAAATGAATATTATAAATTTCAATAATTTATAAATCCTAATTATATATTTATAATATTTCAGAAAAATATATTTTTAATTTAATCAAATCTTGTATATGATATAAGTAATAATTTTTTTAATTTAGAATAAAAGTACCTACTAATAAAAATTTTGTCCATTAATATTAATGATTCGCATATTTAATAGATAATATTTATTATAAATGAAAAATTTAAGATCTTCTTTTAAAAAATTGTGTGAAGATATTAAAAATGATTACAGGAATATAGGATGTTGAGAAAATAGGAAAATAGAAAAATTATCTATATTTAAAAGGATAATGAAACTTACCGTTAAATAAACTTTAGCTTCAAATGCCTCACCATGCCAGCTCCAGCCATTGCTCCACTTGGGTTTGAGAAAAGGCCTCCGAGGAATCAACAAGCTCTTGTCAAACGGATCTTTGATTTGCTCTTCAATTTTACTGAAGCTTTCTATTCTGACTAACTTTTTTCCATTCTTGCCTTTTTTTTTGCTCTTTTTTATATCTATTACTCCCTCCTGCAATTTTCCCTTAAATTTGTTTACCTTCGTATCTTTCGAAGATGCAAGTTCAGATATATAAAAAGGAGTTGAAACAAAGTTAGATGCAAAAATAGAAGTGGTAATAACACTAGATTTAATTTCCTTCGTTTCTTTTGTTTCTTTAATTTCATTTCCATCTTGACTTTTATTCTTATGATTTTTCGTTTCTAAGATCTTGTTATTCTTTGGTTCTATAACCTTGTTGATATTGTTCTTAGATTCTGTTATTTTATTGTCATTCTTAGCCCCTGCAGTCTTAAAATTTTTTATATCCGACATCTTATTACTAGTATTTTTTGCTTCTAAAATTTTATTACTCTTTATTTCCAAAATTTTGTTATTATTATTCTTTGATTCCAGAACTTTGGATTTGACTTGAAATAGTTTAGGTTTGATTTTACTATTTTTTGCTTTAACATTTTGTATTTTTGACTTTATCTTTGAGTCAACTTTATTATTGATCTTTTGTTGACTGTTTTTAATTTCATTTCTAATGAGTCCAAGCTTTTCAGATACAACAGCTTTAACCAAGTCGAGTTTCTTTGAGGCACATTTGATCGTCGTAAGAAGATTTATACTCCTCTTGCTCTTTTTCTCAACTTTTCCGTTGTTTCGGCTTCTACTTTTTTTTATTTTTGTAGATTTTTGTGACATCTGTAGACTTTGTTGAATTACATTATTTATAGTCTCCATTATCGAAGTTTCACTTGCCACAGTTTTTATTGAAGCGGTTTTTAATTTTTTTGGTGGCGTCTCAATTAAACTCAAATTACTGGCTTTACGTTTTAAATTTGAAGTTTCTTTTATGGTCAACTTTTTCCTCGAAGAATTCTGTGATTCTTTTATATGTTCATTCTAAAAACAATACAATATAAATTTTATATATTTACGTATTTACATAATTAATTTACATATCTAAATAAATATGAATAAAATATTTAATTTTATAAATTGGGCAACAGTTTAAGTAATTTTTTATGATCCCAACAAAAAGTGATAAATATTTTTATGTAACTTTCATTCTTTAAATGTTTTAAAAACATAATGATTTGTATTACTTTATATTTATATTATAATTATTTTAATATATTTTATATTTTATAAATTAAGAATTAACTAAATACTAATTTGTTACTTTTTACAAAAGATGTAATTATTACAATAACTTTAAATCACTTTTTCTTTACTTTTGATTAAATAATTAATTTCATAAAAAATTTGTTTTCTCAATTCAAAGAATAAAACAAAAGCCACTTTATTTTAATTTTATATTATTTAATTCTACCTATATAATAATAATACTAACGACAATAACAACAACAATAAGTAGATGAAGAATAACAATACCGATTATAGATAATAAAATAATTCAAATTAAAAACAGATAATTTTCTATTTGGTTATAAATCTTTAGTAAGTAAAATAAAATATAATGGAACGAACTAAATAAAAATAAATACAATAATTAATTAAGATCTGAATCTTAAAAAATAAACTTACCCCATCTATGGAAGCTCCGTTAATATTATTCGATGTTACCGTTGGTGCAATTAATACCTGGTGAGATGTCGTAAAATCTCTAGCTGAACCAACGGACAGGGTTCTTTTGTTAATCTTTTTCAATTTGGCGAAGTCTGAAAGACTATCTAACGACAGTTTTCTTCTATTTACTTTCTCGCATCTTTGTTGGTGTAACAGTTTACTATTGCAATGTTTTTCCAAATATTTGTTCGTGTTATCTTCCTTTTCTTCTTCCCTATTCCCATTCACGGTCCCATCATCTTTGATTACTGGTTCCGACGCTGTAGGTTCATAATCCGCTTTGTTCCATTGTACTAAATCGATCTGCTGATATTTTCAATTTACTTATTTTAATTAAATTGATTAATAACGAGTGTATTTTTATTAATTAGTGGTATTATATAATATATATTGATTAATATGATGTCATTATTAAGTTTTTTTAATAAATTGAAAAATCGTAAAAATCTAGGATATGTTACCTTAAAATATGTATTTTATTATACAATTAATATAGATTATAATAATCATGTTACAAAGAAACATTTTATGAATTCAAAATCTTTATGTAAGTAAATAATAAAATTAATTGCTATCAATTTTTATTCAAGTTATATAATTCCATAATTATTACAATTAAACGTTAAAAAAATTATTTTTAGTTTGTTTATAAAGTGTTCCAACATCATTGAATTTAACAAATATACAAATAAATATGAATAACAGTATTAATAAAATGTTTATATTACGACTTAGGAAATAATTGTAATAAATAAAAAGATATTACAAATTATTTATTAAACATTAGTTTTATAAAATTAGAAAAAAAATCCTTAATTTAAACATAATGTTCCAAAATATGCTGAATAGATTTGAAATCTGCAAACATGTATGTGAGAATTGCACTGCTTGGTGGAAATTCAAAATTTTTCGAAAAACAACTTACATCCATTATTTTTTATGATAATTCGTATACACTAAAGCTATCATCGTTAATAATGCTAATAATATCGATAGATTACAAATTAATTATACATAGAACAAGTGGCAGAAATAGAATCAAAAAGCAATTTGCAATGAAAATGATGTATTCGGGTTGAATATTGAAAGCGCTTATAAAAAATAATATTCTGAATGAAGTCATTTGTTTTTCTTTCTGTTGTCTATTATTTTATAATGCAGTATATTTTATAATGCAATATAGAAGAATATATATAAAATAATATAATAAATAAAGTATATAATAAAATTATTTAACTTATTAAAAGGTAATCTTGCACTCTAATTAATTAAAACTGAACAACCTAAATTGAACAATTATTAAAATGTAAAAGAACAATAACAAATTTTTCTATTACATTATAATATATATTTTCAAAAAAAGTTCTTTTTAAAATATCAGTGATGCAGTTTAATAAAACAAAATGTGTCTCGAATAATGCCCTAGAACTATAAATATTGAATATTAAATTTATTTATCTAAATAAAAAACTAAAATTTTGTTTATGTATATATATATATATATATATATATATTTGTTTATATATATAAATAAATATTAGATTACATACTAAAATTTTAAAATGAAAAAAATTATTAACTTAGTAAAACAATTTTTTTTCAGTTTGAGTTTACAAAATTTATCTTATAAAGAAATATTAATATATATTTAAATACTAATATTTATATATACATATATATGCATAATAATAATATTTTATAATTTTGATACAACTTTCGATATTTGAAAAAATCAAATATAACATATATCAATATACGTATATTAATCTTTAATTTATTAATATTAAGAATAATATTTGTTAATAATAATAATCATAATGCTCCTGATTAAGCATATTTCAGTGAATTATTGAAAACATTTGGATATGTAAATTATATTGATATAAATTGTGATTGTATTATTCTCTTAAATTTTTATTAAAAATATTATACAGACGTGTAGAAAATGAATTGAATGTAGCATTCGAATAATGTCCAAATATATAGACTATCTTAAGTTACGTATATCTGTTAAATAAACTTTATAAAGAAAATTGTTCAAAAACATAATGTACCTTTATAAGTAAAATAAATTTATTTTAGTTAATGGTTATTGAATTTTTTAAAGTTCATGAAAAATTGTTTCCTGAAAATTTAATTATAAATGTTTTTTGTTATAATACTGTATAAAAACTAATATTTGGTTACACTCTGAAGTGCAATATGAACAAAAAAAAAATTAAAATTACCAGTGTATTGAGTTCCTCTTTAACTTCGGCGTCAGTTTCTAACTTACTGCTTGCAGCATCATCGTCTAAAATGCCCGAATTCTTATTCATTTCCATAATAGCCAATTGCCCAGCTTCCTTCATGCATTGCTCACATCGAAAGATTTCACATTTGTAGCCAGATTCGGATTTAATTTTACAGCTGGATGCACAGGTAATGTGTTCAAGTTGCTGGTCCCGTTGTTGTCCCTCATCGATAGCTGACACAGTAGCGGGTTTCCCAATTCTGATGCGTTTCTGCTGAAACTCGACGTTGCATAATTCACATTTAACATTGTTATTCTCGAGCTTGAGATTTCTATGATACTTCTTATGTTGATGGCACTGTTGACCATGGAGTTTAGAGGCACCGTGAGTCGTTTTCGAGTCATCAGTCATACTATTCGCTGGTGAAACATTTTGCTCAAGCTTCACGTCATATCCTGAATTGCAGTTCACAACTTGCTTTTGACTATAAGCATATTTACTACTGTGCATTTTACCTTCAGTACGTTCCGCATCTCCCTATTCATAAACAAAATGAAATTTACTAATAATCAATAAATGATTCTTAAAATGCTATCGAAATAACATTACTTCAAATTTAATTAATACATCGATATTTTAAATGTTTTTAATTGAAAAAAGTTCTTATGAAAGAGTAGTGAAATTTTGATTTATAATTTATTGCTAAATTAACACACGGAAACTAAGATATTTTAGGTCCCATAAAAGGTTAAAAATACAGGTGCACGCACACGCATATACCGGAATTAATAAATCTGTAAAGATCATTTTTATGATAAAGAATTAAAAATTATTTTAACGAATGATTTTAGAAATTCATAATTGTTTTGACAGGCAAGATGTTATAATACGTCTAAAACATGAGATTTCATTAATGAAAAAAACCTTCAAATTTTTATATACAGAATTTTAAATAAGTTAGTGTTCAAGATTCATTCAAAAGAATTGAATTATACAAACAAGGATTCGTAAATGTAATATTATAAAATATTTAATTTCTTATGTCAGTATGATTTTCTGTATATTAATCGACAAATCAATTTTATTGTTGAAAATATGAAAATTTTATTTTGTTTCTAATTAGTTTTCGAAAAATATATATTACTTAGTAATTCAACTTTCAATTATCTTATTACAAGGAAGATAATTAAAAAATGAATCATTCACATTGCTGGTGGTGTTTACTTTGGTTATACAGTCGATGTTGACACGACTGCTGTGTCCGGCTTGTTGCGATAAGGCCGGTTGCAGCTGCTGCTGTTGCTGTTGGTTCTGATTGTGGCTACGGTGAGCCGGACTCAATTGGACGCGATCCGTGTCCCAGGCGTTGGCGCCGTGCGGGGGTGCTAGCCCAGCTAGACCCCGCGCGGGTGAGGGCGGCCCCACCAAGGCGCTGGGTGGCAATGACAGACCGGGCCCCGATATCACTGGCGCTCCCTTACCATTACCAATAAGGGGCCCAGTATCCGCGTTTTTTGGACACGATTGCATAGGGCACGGACAGCTTTGAAAGGCATCTGAAACACCACCAGTCTGTATTATCTGTTCATTTGGATTATTAAGCAAAATGCGTGTATTCATTTATGAACTTTTTACGATCAAAAATAAAATAAAATTTTAGATTTAACAACATTTTGAGAAGAGGTAACTCAGTATAATAATTTTTTTTACATTTTAATACAGTAAATACGATAAATACTGGGTCAATTAATTATTATTTACCCTAATTTATTTCTTAGATACTATGCTTTTAATAAAATGATTTTAAAAGGTTTTTTAAGGTTATCACGGAAAATATGTTATTTTATAAATAATTATAAGAAATACCTTTTAAAAATAATTTACTACCTATCTAAATTAGCAGACATTTTCTTTATGATTATATTCCTTATTCAAACAAAAAAGCAATGCAATGATTATTAAAAGTAAAAATTATTATATTTAGGTAAAATACATATAAAAATGATTTAATTATATATAAGTCAAGGAATGCAATAAACAACAATTTTAAATATATAATAAAAAATACAAATTTTCATATTCAGAAATAATAATTAAATATTTAAAATTAAAGTATTTTTATTTTATATACCATATATAAGTCAATAATAATAAAAGGTTAATAAATAAATAATTATAATATTTGATTTAATTTTTAATCGGCATAATTATTCTCACTTTGTAATAATTTACAAAATAGGTAGAATCAGTCAAAGTTACCAAAGATATTTCAAAGTAATAAGTTTACATTAAGCGAATTAGTAATAAAGTATTTATACGAGCTCTACTATAAGAAATTAAAATAATATAATACGCATTAAATCTATTGCATTGGTGGTATCTTAATTAATAGGTCTAACATATTACTGTAATAGTGTTTATACATAACCATTTTAATTTCTAGGATGTAATTTTAAACTTTATATAATTTAGACATTTCATCAATACAAAAATTCTCAAAACCACTGTTTTCAATAATTAGATATCATTAATTTTAACATCCTTTATTTTTAAAATAAGGACATAAATACGTTTAGAAATATGAATGGTTTTTGAGACAAAAGAAATAATAATAATAAATGTCCAGGAGTCATATTATATTCAATGTTTCGAATGTAATGTGAGCAAGTGTGATTAATTCTTCTTAAATTAATTTAACAATGACTTTTTGAAGCAGCCTTTAACATTGATTATATTATCTTTCCAAAGACTACTAAAATTTCCAATTTCCTTTATATCTATTTATTCTACTTAATCCTTGATATTACTAGTAGTAATTTAATAAATTTATGTTTAATTTTATTTAATTTTTTAGATAACCTAATTAATTATACTCTGTTATAATTTTGAAATATTATTCAATCAGGATACGCACTTGAAGCAACGCTTTTATGGTGAACTATTTTCTAACAAATTATTTAGAATGAATTATAATACGAATAAAAAAGAAAGCTGTAACGCAAAAATAAACCAATTAGTTAGACAATAATCAATTATTATAGCAATACATTACATTGTATTATAGATTTATAACACTTAACAAGCAATTGGTGTAATTACATTTATTCAGTTACTTCTGTTAGTTCTGTTTCGTAATAATTTATATTATTAACGAATACAATTATAATGTAATAGCCTAATTATTAAGTATGATAATAAGATTTACAATATAAATTAACATGTTTACATTGGTTTAGCACTATATGTTGTTGAAGTCACAGCTTCATTATAAAGATAATTCCCGTCGATCAATAAAATCATGTTAATTTTTTCATGTTGCATCACGCCGAAAAATTCATTCACATAATCGATAATAATATCAATGTAAAAAGTTATGTTTAACTTACGGTCAACGAAAGGTCGTCCCTGAGAGTGCAGATACGCTGGATTCGGTGGCGGTGGTGGTGGTTGTGGAGGCGGCGGATATCCACCATAATAAGGTAAATACTCGCCAGGCGGTGGTTGATACTCAACAACACCGGGACCAGCCCCAGAGCCACCGGGACCGCTACCAGGTCCTGACTCCTGGTATCCATAATATTGCCTATTCAGGCATTAAGATTTATTTTATATGAATACTTTTTTATACAATCGTTCATCGCAAGAGAACCAATAATAATTCATTTTTTATCAGTATTGCAAGTAATAGCACATAAGAGATTTAATAATGTTAAGAAAGGAACGGTTATTTTATTTTTTTTTTTTTGAAAATTTTCATTGATTAAGATTTATATATTAATTTGAATATAAATAATCTATATTATCATAATGAAAAGATATGAAAATCTGTAGGTATAGAATACTCTAATGATACAATTTTACATTGCTAGATGTGCTATAACAATTGCATCACAGAATAACGATGACATATTATTTTGATAAACATAGGTTTATTAAAGGTTAAGGACGATCAATTCTTACCTTCGATAAGGTGGTGCATATTTATGATAGTAAGGCGGCGGATGTGGATGAGAATGCGAGTACGAGGGCGAATAACAAAGATCTTGGTACTGCGGTGGTGTCGCATAATACTGTGGGCAGTAGGCACGATAGAACCCACCACCTAAAATACAAATCATTAAAACGGTATTAAATATAGATAATCTTGAAATTTATTAAAGCTCATATGAAGCATTATTTGTGAATAACAGTTTATTCATTAAGCGCTAAAAAAATTTTCGCTATTTATTATCGACACAAATTACCACATTGATTTTAAAATTCATTGTAACAATACCTTTTTTTAGTTTTCATTTAAATTATATCTCTTGATAATTTTATTTTATCTATTCATACTGCATTAATTAAATTCTTAGTAATAAGATGATTTTGTATCTGTATATTACTATTTTCTACTTAAACAAAATTAAATTTACATCAAATTTCAATATAATCTAGTACATTTTATAAAATTTGATAACATAATTTTCAACAAAATATGTAATATTTTATTGAAATATAATAGTACATATATAATATTATAGTATAATAAGATATATAATAGTACAAGGTTAAAAATTAAAACAAGGTTTTATTCGCAATTGAAACCGTAATACAATAAATATGCAAATACATTTATCAACTTTATTATATCGGACCAATTTGAGGATGATGTTAAGGAAATATTTGTAATGATTATACTTAATGATATACTTTATGAAAATTATTATAAATATTTTTCACGCTAAAATTGAATAACAAAATATCATAAATAAGTAAAAAAGAAATTTTTTAATAAAAAATAATATGGTTTAATAAAACATTATTTATAGTAACTATAAAATATCATAGAAATAGTCAATAAAATGGATTATCTATATATAAAAAATGTACAAATATGTAAATATTTAATTAAAAATTAAACTAAATAATTCTAAATAGTGTTAATTTTACTAATTGATCTAAAAAATCTATTTCAACACATAATACTATAAAATATCAAATTTAAAAATAATTTAAGTCTTAGTTTTATGTATACATTTTTATTTTTGAGTTTTTTTATTACGTAAGTATTTTATAAATAACAAAAATTTCCAATCAAGCTATTAAAATTTTAATATTTTTAAATGATATTTTTATTTTATTCTAAATATTTTTATCATATAAAGATGAAATTTTGTTAATTAAATTATATATATGAAATTTATTATGTATATTATTATATTATTGTATTACAATTTTTAGTTGTTTTTTTAAATTACAATATATGTATTATTATAAATAGGTAATTGCGCATAATAAATAGAAGTGAGGAATAGACCCAAGCTTCCTGGGGGAAGTCTCATCACATAAAACAAGACATATTGCACCGAGACTGACTAAAATAACATAAGTATAAACGACGAGTGGGCAAATGTTAGTATTAAGTTCGAAATAAAAAATGATTGCTTAGTTATACGAAGAGTAGAGTATTTAATTACAATTAATTACAATAGAATGTTTGTAATATAATAAATTCGTTACGTATATTTATTTATAATTAGCATTTTTTTAATTGATTTAAAATTATTTACATTAAATTCTATCATTACTTTTGACAATATTATTCATTAATATGCACTAATTATTTGTTTGTTATTAATTTTTCTATTTATTATTTAAATGTTTACACTCTAATAATATCAATTGTAATATAATTACTATTAATAATTCAATAATAATATATAAATATAATTTTATAATATATTGTAATTATTAACAATAATGCATTTTAATTATAAACTTAATGAAATTAACTTAGAACCGAAAATTACTAAACAAATATTTTAGAAATATTTTATATATTTTTATGAACAAAATAAAATATAATTGGTAGATATTTTAAAAATTTTTATTTAAAAATATCAATGTATAAATATATTAAAAATATTAAATATGGATATTATTTAAATATAATAATATAATTTAATAAAATTATAAAGAAACAAATTTTAATATACATATTTCCGTCAAATGCGTAAGAAACATTGAAACAACTATCTTAATTATTTTGCCATTTAAATACCTATTATAACTTATTCGGTTTTTTAATCAAATAAATATACTTATTGATTATATCAATATAGAAAATAATAGATTAAAAATAATATTATAAATAATAATTTTAAATATATAAATAAAAATTACTTTAGTCCAACTGAATGTAAGGAATAAGGAATAATGTAAGGAAAAATTATAGTTATTCTATATAAATCTATTTAATCTATTTTAGTCAAGTTTACGTAGTATACATGCGATAAATAGTGAAAAGAAATTTATTAATAATGCCAAAACAATTATTATTGCGTAGTTACATGAAAAACTTACCTGTACTACTCGTTCCACCTGACGTTGTAGAGGTTGCGACAATATCGTCCGAACCCTCAGAATTCTGCGGGGGAGTCGGTGTCGGTTCCGGCGGCGGACCCTTCACCGACTGCAACGTTGATGGATGCTGTATCAGCGGTCCAGCCGGCTGATAGTATCCTAAAACAAACCCAAGAAATTTTACTTTATTATCTAACACTAAACTTCACCACAGTGAATACTAAAATTTAATGAATATTATTTAAACAAACAAAACTTTATCTTTGATATAGCTGTTTAAGATCTGTTTACAAAATAATTCAGATCTTCCATGTATATACAGATACAAGTTGATAAATCTGTAATTAAATTGATATTTAGTTATACTATTTTCAAATAATATTTTATTTAAAAAATAAATTTAATAAGAAAATTTTCAAATTATAATTTTTCATAATGAAAAACTAAAAACCATAATTTATTGGGAAAAGGGATGGTCTTTAAAAATTAAAACTTATTATTTAAAACGTTCAAGCTATAAATAATAAATATATTAAGGCATCATTAATACTTTTTAATATTATAATTGTGATTTATAGAAAAAACATATTCAGAAAAAATATTTATTTTCTTCACTATAAAATACTTATTTTATCACTAATTGCGCAGTTTATTATTGATTTAAATATTGTATTATTGATACAAATGTTACTTACAGCATAATAGACTACACTATAATAGATTTCAATAATTTTGAAATATATAAAAGCTATATAAACAAAATATATATAAAAATAGAGTAAACTATTAAACAAAAGAAAACAAATCAGTCGAACCATTCAGACAACACTTTTTTGAACAACAGATCTTCGAACTCTCGAGTGTATAATACAAAATTTTGTAATCCTTAGAAGTATGTATTACATTAAAAAGAATATTTCTATTTTAATACATTCATTTGGAATTAAATATATTTGTTGTATATATTTATAACATTTCAGGACATACACAATTTGCTTACTTTTATGTTAAGATTTCTAAAGTGCATAATTACGGTAATTATTAAATATATACTTATAAAAATAAAACGTACAAGTTATGCTTACATAAATATTATAAAACAAATAAGTGATTGTAGTACACATAGTATATTATAATATGTACTATAATTATATTATATTAACACATTAAAAGATATTATAACATATATATATATATATTTTTATAGCATATTATATAATGTTTCTATCATAGAACATTAATTTATATTAAATGTTAAAATTTTAATTAAACACTTTTGTAATAAAATAATATTTTGAAACTATTATTATTTTTTATTATTATTCATTTTTAGAGTTTGCACATATAATAAATATTTTTAAATAATAAATGTTTATTCATTTATTGAACAAACTATAATATTACAGTGTTTGAAAATTGAAGATTAAACATTTCTTGATTTTAGAAAGAGTATTAATAACTATGAAGATTAGGTTTAGATAAGAATTGACAATAATAGTAAGTATTGAAATAATATTTATTAAATTTACACACTTCAATCAACTCAATCAATTAAAGTTAATATTATCGTTAATTTTCTTTTTGAAACAAAAATTCTTTGGGATATAATAAAGAATATTTATAAATTAAAATTTTGTGGTAATATGTAATTTTTAAAAAATAATATTAACTATATAATTAAATAACTAAATAAATGACATTATTATATTTTAAATAATAATTAAAAATTTTAGTAAAAGAATGAAAATGATAGTTGTGTCAATTAAGACAGTATTAAACATTATTTTCAATAATTGATTTCAAATTTGTTCAAAAATTAAAAAAGGTAAATTCAGTTCCAATTTACGTAAAATGTCGAAAATTATTTATTATGGTGATGTATTGAATTTCACTAATTTGCTATAAACATAGAGTTATTTATAATTTTATAAGTGATTCGTTTTAGCAATAGGATTTTTCAATAACTTCTGATGTAAAATGAAAATTTTTTAATATATGTTATTGTAACCATAACTACACAAAATTATAATTAAAATTGAAAACAAATTGACATGCATTAAGAACTCGGAGGGTTTTTATATTAATAGTTGTCGAATTAGCAAAACGATTGAATTTCTACTTTCAAATATATAAATATAAATTTTTGGATTATAAATGAAGCATCAGAAATTTTATATTTAATAAAATTAAAATACTAAATAAGTATTTATTAAATATTATTAAATATGAATATTAAATGTTGTCGTAAAATTAAGACTACTAAATCTGTGGCACTTCAAGCCAATTAATATTAAGGCCTACCCATAAAGACAATAAATATTAGATGCAATTTTAAAAATAAATTAATTTTATTAAATTTATTATTTACTATACAACATTATAAATTTATAATTATAATAATTATTAAATAATTAAATAATTATTTTCTACGTCCATTCATTATATATCTAAAATTTCATCATTGCAAATCCATTCTTAAGTACAGTGTCTGATGTTCGTTCACTTTTTAATATCGAAATTCGTAAAATTCAAAGTAATCTTAATTTTCCACATAAACAAGATGAAAAAATATAAGAAAATAAAAAATTAAGTGAAATTTTTTATCCAAACTAAACCATTATGTTTAACCATTATGTTAACTAAACCATTATCTTTACCAAAAATAAAGTAGTAATATATCAAATGATAGGAAAACATTAAAGAAATATAATAGTATATTTAATATATAAATTAGTATAAAAAAGATTTTTGGGAAATTTTCTTGAGACATTTAAATTTCTATTTTTGATCTAATAAAAAATTATTTAATTTGTTGTTAATTTTTAAATAATTAATAATAAAACAAAATGTATGATTAACAAATTGAATAATAGTAAACCAATCAAGGTAAATATTTGCTTCACACACTTGTAAATTATTGACAATGCACAAAAGCGAATGAGCAACTATATGTGTGTAATTTAAATATTCGTTAATGCATCGTTATCAAAGACGTATTTAAAACATCAAAATCTATTTATATATTTTAATAATAAAAAAATTATTAGAAACATGTTAAATTGAATATTCTTCGAGTACTAATGGAAACTGTAAAAAGAGTGATAAATTATTAAAATAATTTAAGTAATTTTAAAAGTTAAAATAAAATAGTATTAAGTGTATATTACTATTCATCTATTAAATAAAAGTGCAAAAGTAATAATTTATATAATATAATATTTAAAAAATGTACAGTAGAGTAAGCTATATAATTTGGCAGTAATATTTATAAATTTATCAATAAAAATAAATAGACTTCTTATTATGAAAACAGGTACTGTAAATTAATTTAAATAAACCAAAATTCGATTTATTGAAGTATTAATACAAAAAATAATTATGTTGATGACCTGGTTCATTAATTTTGTTCGAGATTGTATTTTTCGAAATAAAATTTAAAAAATTTGTAAGTACTATATCTTAAAGACTTCTAAACTGATCTTTGTAAAATTTTATATAATTTTAATTTTAATTAGTGTTTATTATATAAATCTAGCATAATGAATAACAGTTATGTTTACAAAAATAAGTCTTAACTTTCCTCGGAGCAGTTTTATTTTAATTCATATTTAATAAACAAAATAAAATGAAAACTAAACTAATGTATATATTAAATAAATCATTTTGTTTGTGACATTATATATTCTGTTTTCAAATTACTCATAAGAAAACATCTGTTTAAAAAGCACTCTAATATAGTTTATTACGAAATACTATTAGCAAATTATGGACTTTTTATTTAATAAGAAATAATGATTAATTAGCATAACAATATAATTTGATTAATATTTCTATTATGTAACAATACTTGTAATTGAGATAATTCTTTTTTTATGTCCACATTTTTGTCATTTAAATTCAATTATAAGAATTCAATTTTAATGAAAATTTTAACTTGAATAAACAGAATTGGTATGATGAAAATTACTTCATTTTCTTCCTCGTTTTATCTTAAAAAACAAAATTTCTTTAGTTTCTATATGTATTGTAATCTTTTAAATTTTGGTATTGTTTTTCTCAATCAAAATTGTCTTATCTTATATAAAAAATGAATTTTCAATATGTCTTTTAATTTTTTAATGCTTATTCATTATAATTGTAAAACTTTTTTATCACTATTATCTATTTATTTTGTTTTATAATATTATTAAAATTTATATAGTTTTTTAACAATACTATATATTACTTTTAAAAAACGAAAATAAAAATTTTTTAGAAATAGTTCCACTATTTTTATTAATTTATTAATAATTTTATTTTTAGTTTTATCTCTGCTCC